GCGTTCTCATTCAAGTTGACAATTACTCAATTAACTACCAGAGAAGGGAATCTGATTTCAAGAGCTGCCATATTACATAATTTAAAATCTCCTATTTTTCAACAAAAAGTTTTGAGACGCACAAAGGAACAAGCAAATATAGCCTATACATTGGATGAAGGAGGGAGGAAGCAGTCAGAAGAAACCATCTCAAGATTGGCGCCGTGGCACATGCCTGTTATCCTAGCACTTGAGAAGAGACTGAGGGATGAGGGTATCCAGGAGTCGCCAGCCTGGGATACAGAGTGAGCTCAAGGCCAGGCTGAAGGACACAGTGAGACTGTCAAAAAACAAGCAAAAAGAAAAAGAGAAAGAAAAATGAAACTGTCTCAAAGGAAGTCAGGTTTTGGATTTATTAGGCAAAGTTTTTAAAACAGACAGCTATTACAAAAGTATTTGAAGAACTAAAGCAAAGTGTATGTCAAGAATTTTTTAAAAATGAGATCAATTTCACAAAATAGAGAAAGGTAATAAAAAGATAAAAATATCTATAGGCTAGAGATGTAGTTCAGTGGTTGAGTCCTTGCCTACCATGGATGAGGCCTTAGGTACAATCTCTATTACCACAAAAAATCATATGTAGTAAATAAAAACAAAAATAACAAAAAAATTCTGGAGTTGAAAAGTACAGTAACTCAATAGTGTAACAACAGTTTTAACAGGTAGAATAAAAATTCAGCAGATTTTGAAGATAAATCAATTGAGATAATCCAGTTTAATGAAAAACATTAAATAAAAGAAAAATAAACAAAGACTCAAAAATTTCTAGGACACTATAAAACATACCAAACAAGCAGAACTGGAAATCTCAGAAGGACAAAAGTAAGAGAAAGGGCAAAACAATGTTTGAAGAAACAATGGCTGAAAACTTTCCAAATTTGATTTTAAAAAAACTTCTAAGTACAATAAACACAAAAAGTACTATATCTGTACATGTCTTCATCTGTGCCACCATAACAAAATACCATAGACTGAGTAATTTATAAATTTTAGAGGGTTATTTCTCAAAGTTTAGGAGGCTAGATATCCAAAATCAGGATTTTAGCAGGTTCAGTGTCTAGAAAGCTTTGCCTGATTTCCGCTTCTAAGATGGTTCCTTGTCACCACATTCTCTGGAGAGGAGGAACACTGTATCCTCACATGGCGGAAGGAGGAAGGGTGAGAAGGGCACTTCCTTCAACCTTGAGTCCTATTATGGGTTCTAATCTCATTCTTGAGGGCAGACCCCTCATGATGTAATTGCCTTCCAAAGGCTGCAGTCTCGATATTGTTGCATTGGGGATTAAGTTTCAATAGGAATTTTGGAGGGCACATCATCATTCAACCAGAGCAGAATGCCTAGTCATAGTCCAAAACTGTAAGACTTCAAAGACAGAATCTTAAAGGAGAAAGAAACAAATGGCTCTTTACATACAAGGGACCTTCAATAAGATTAATAGCTGACTTTTTATCAGAAACAGTGGAGGCCACAAAGCAGTGAGATGACATATTCAAAATGCTGAGAGGAAAGAAAAACATCAATTAAGAATTCTATATCCTCCAAAACTGTCCTTCAGAAATGAAAAAGAGCCAAGTATGGCGGTGCATGCCTATAATCCCAGCACTTAGGAGGCTGGGGCAGGAAGATTGCCATGAGTTTGAGACCAGCCTGGGCTACATAGTAAGTTCAAGACCAGCCTCAAGACCCTGTCTCAAAGAAAAAAAAAAAAGTTAAGTCATTTTAGGAGAACAAAAATAGAGTTTTCTGCTAGCAGAACTGCCCCACAATAAATGTTACAGGTTTGTTTGTTTGTTTTGGTACTAGGGATCAAACTCAGGACCTTGTGCTTGGGAGGCAGGTGGTGGATCCCACAATAAATGTTAAAAGGAGTCCTTCAGGCTGAAACAAAATACTAGACAGTAACACGAATCATCATGAAGAAATAAAGAGCACTGGTAAACATAATTATATGGGTAAATATAAAAGGCACTATAAATGTATTTTGTTTGCAATTCTAGTGACTTAAAATGCAACTGCATAAAGCAATAACTAAATATAAAACTGTGTTAATGGGCTTTTAATATATAAAACAATACATTGTATTTATATATAATAGCACAAAGGAAGGTAGAAAGAATGGAGATATAGTGGAGCAAAATTTTGTAAACTATTGCAATTAAATTAATATTAATCAGAATTAGATTATTTTAAATTCAGATGTTAATTGCAATGTCCAGGGCAACTACTCAGAAAATAACTACAGTGGACTCTTGCCTTTCAAATTCAATTTGTTTCCAAAGGCTGGTTGTAACTTAAGTTGGTCAAATTGCTTTCAAAGTCTCTCTCCTGTATAATTTTAGGCCACTCTTTCTTCCAGGCAGATTTCAGTGTCCTTTAGGAGACATTGGCCTAGGATTTCTCAATTAACCCCACACAAGAAAGGATGTTGTAATATTCCTTCTAGAACTCTTTAAGGGCTAAATTCATATCTGAGACCATCTGGAAGCACAAGGCCAGCATTTGGTTCATAACTCAAGACTCTGGTCCTAAGTTAAAACTAAAATTCTGGTCATAACCCAAATTGTTCGTGTGTCAGGCTAGTCGTAACTTGAGGGTCTACTGTAAATATATAATTAAAATAAGGAGAGTTGACTTGGCAATTTCAGTGGTTGGGATTAAGGGCAATTCTTTCAAGATGCAGCCATCTTAAAATTCATGATTCAAATGCCTTGGACAGTGAGTCCATTTGTTCTGGTGTGGATCATTACTGTGATCAGAAAAGTGTGTATATTATGACAGCACATTTTAAAATCAGACAAGAACAGAAATATATGTATATTTGAGAGAGAGAGTCATGTAAGAAATGGCTATAGCAGAAGGCATCTGAAAGAAAACAGCATGTATGAAATTACTCCATAAATGCATGGACATGTACACGAAGAAATGCATGAAAATGTGAACACCGAAGCATCAACAGTGGCCATTTCAGAATGTAGGGGTTTATTTCCTTCCTTACATTTTTATGTATTTGAATTTTTGCAATAAGCACAGTTTATATATAAATAATACTCATTATTTAAAAATATATGATGCCTACTGCCTTGGGAGATGAAGAGTCAGAAACATACACCACCTTGCAGGCCCTGGCAGTTATGAGGAAGACAGGAAGATACAGCCAGGTGAACTTAGTGAACCCGAACTTAGTGAAGGCTGTAGCAAAATGCTAGGAAAGAAACATTAATCGACCTTACAGATCTGACTGGGAAAGTCAGAAGAACACTGTTAAAGGAGAAGGCATTTGATTTGAACCTTGAAAGCTTGGAAGCAATTCAACAGGTAAAGAAAGGGATAGGAGAAATCCACAATAAAGGAGAAGAATGAACAAAACAAGCAGAGGCATTAAACACCCAGGGTGGCTGGGCATGGTGGTGCATGCCCATAATCCCAGCTCCTCCACAGGCTGTGGCTGGAGCAGTTCAAGGCCAGCGGGGCAGCATACTGAGACCCTGTCTCCAAATAAAAAATAAAAAAGGGCTGGGGATGGTATAACTAGAACACAGGTGTGGAGTGGACAGAAAGTTGGAAACATAGGCTGTTCGCCAACTGTGAAAGTTTAGATTATATGACAATTGAGCAGCAGAAATACTGCAGGTGTGGAGGTAGGTGGAGGTGGGGGTTTGCTTCTTTTGTCATGAGAGTGACATTCCTAGGTCTGTGAGGCTGGTGAGAGAGGCAGGAGTCGAGAAAACCAGTTAGGAAACTGTTAAAATGATTCAGCTCAAGGTAATCAAAGTCTAACAAGAGCAGATACGTGGGGATCCGGAGGGCAGAGTTTCCAGAATACCTTCAGAGGTAAAATGGCAGGCCCAGGTGGAAGACAAAAATCTTCAGTGCCTGGCAACTGAAGAGTTGGAAAAACTCCAGTCTGAGAAAGAACTTGAAGGCGGGTGGCAACCAAGTTTGGAGAAAGATTCAGCATCTTGCAGAATGTCGAAGGGGGCAGTTAGAATAAAGCTCTAAGGGCCTGGAGGACCCGAGGTAAAAACCTCACAATCAGAAGGGCAAATCCCCCATCTCAAACCACAGAACCGAGGATCTGGTTTTGGACTCTGAAGTGAGCAGTCCCAGAGAAAGATGGACTCAGAAGCTTTCCAAAATCTACCAGGCATCAAAGAGTGAATCAAATCGACCTCCTCCGTATCTACACATCCTAAATGAAAGGGTCTGGGTGTGTGGAAGGAGGTATCAGGAGTCTTGGGTGAAATCTCAGACATAATTCTGCTTCTAGGACACCAGCTTTTTTGCTCACTGCCTTGAGGAAAACCTTGGCTATCCTTTCTTCGTGTGTTTTCCTCCTCAGCAGAGCTTTTTCTGTAAAGAAGCTTTGGGTAAATAGTGTGTAAGAAACAACTAAAGATGTCGGTACTGCGTGGTCAGTGTCTGGGCCACTTTATATGGCTTCTCCCTCTCCCCTACTCTACAACTTAGGTTCCTTCAGGCCTGTCATAATAATGTGGGATTTCCCCATGAGCATACGTAAGTCTGAGATATGAAAATATGAATAGCCAACTACTGCCAAATCTCTCACGCTGACTTCTCTTTAAGGGTGTCCTACACACAGTCTTGTGCTTGAAGTAGTGGACCTGGATAGGCACATCTTATTTGTGGCCTCCTTTTTGCATTCTTGGAAAAAGTAACGTTGTTTTTCTGATTATAAAATAGATACAAACAATATGGAAAATCTGGAAACCTCAGGAAGTGTCTATTGATTGGGTAGCTCCACCCCAGAAATACACATAAAAATGCATAAAAATGAGTTTGTGCTTAGGACTCTCCGTTTCCTCCCTGGACAGCCCTAGCCAAGGTGGGCACCTGCGGGGGAGCGCGGGGGTGCAGGCGGGGCCGCGCCTGGAGGGGGCGCGTGGACCGCAGGTCGGAGGCAGGCGGGGCGGCGCCAGGGGCGGGGGGGAGCAGACGGGCCTGCGGTGGCCCCCGCAGGGCGCACGCACGTCCCGGGTGGCGATGGGTGCGGGTCCCCGTCTCCGCCCCGCCCCGATCCTGTTTGGCCCCGAGAAGCCGAGCGAGCGAGCGACAGGAGCACCCCGGCGCCCAGCACGTCCATGGCTTAGCGCTGCTCCGCCAGGGAGGGACCCGGCTAGGTGAGGCCCGGTTCGGAACTCTGCAGATCTCTTTGTGGACGACCTGACCCCGAATTGCAGAGCACCAAGTGGAAAGGGTGGAAAGCGGTCGGTCCTCCCGGGATGTGGGCAGTTTCCTTGGAAGCGGGTAAGAAACTGAGAGACTTGAGAGCCTGGGTCGCTCTTGGGTATTGGCATAGGAATTTCAGGAGAAGGGGGAGTCCTGGCACGCGGTGCGAAGAGGGCCCTGGCCGGTCTGTTTTATTGAGTCAGCGACAGACTGCTGGAAGTGAGACCCCGGAACAGTTCCCACCACTTGGAGACTTCCCAGAGTCTCCCCACCCGGCGCGTCCCCAGATCTGCCTGAGGATCAGGGCCCCGGAGGGTGCAGGGCGGTGAGCAGACAGGCACCCCGCGAGCGAGGAGCAAGTCTTGCTGCGCTGTGGTCTCTCGCCCAGTGTTCTCGGACCCTGGCAAGCACCCTGTATCTAGTTATTAGTCTAGCAGAAATCAGAGGCTTCTTGTTAGAACTCTAGGTCTGCACGTGCTGCTGCAGAATGAGAACCTTAACACCGAGTTTTGTTAACATTTCAGGATAGAAAGCTGGGGGAGAGAAGTCATGGTGCGGCTGTTTTTACCCCTTTGTTGGTTTTCTGGGTACATGCGTGCACGAGTAATAGGTAAATTATGTCCTAGCCTATATTGAAATGTCTTTCTTGGTGTAGTGCTTTAAACCAGGATATAGAGGACAACACTACATTTTTGCATCTCCAGGTGAAAGATTTTCAGGTGGGGGTTAAACACTAGGAAAAAATGTTGATGCAAAGGCTGCAAAGAAAAATTAAGTTTTCTCCATCAATGGCTAAATTCTGTACCGAGAATCTCTTGATAGTTTGGACAGCAGCCAGGCTTGCAAAGACAGATTATTTAGTTGCCTCAGGTGGAGCAAAGGGGCACGCAGAGAAATGGTGGAGAAAGTACTTGAACATGGGTTAAGGCAATCGGAGTCTAGAGAGCAAAATGCTCCGCAGGCTTTACTTGTTAGGAACCCCTGGGGGTGGTTAGAAACCTCTGGAGTTGGCACTCTGGCCCCCACTTTGCCAGCCTGATTCCACTTAAGGGCCATCACTGTCTCTCCAGTGTTTCCTTTGTTGCCCCTTCTCTTACCTCCAGCTTTTAGCTTCTCCCTGCTTCCCAATAAAGTCTAGAGTTGGGCTGATCAGAGGCAGAATAATGGGAGGCTGAGGCGGGGTGGGGGTGGGGGGACCTCTGGTCTAGTGAGTGGAAGCAGAAACAGGACCTGGAAGAGACCCAGAGGGTGGTAGGAGAAGCAGCTTCCAGCCTTGAGGGCCCCCCTGTGCATGGGAGAGTAATGATTAAAACAAAGAGACTCTCAGAAAGGAGGAGTGCTGAACAGTTTGTTTTATGTTAAGGGTTGTAATATTTCCTTTTGTCTGACCATAAGGGCATTTCTAGATGGGGTAGGAGGAGGAGGAAGAGCAGAAGCAGCCCTTCTCTGTGAAGTACTGCCCTCTCACCTCAAATTCACACTTTATTCCATCCTTTCCAGGTTTTCAGTAAGTCATTGAGGGCTTAGGAGAGAGAAAAGAAAGGCCAAACCCCTAATAGGCAACAGAAATAAAGAAACATGGAGTGACTTGGGTAGAGAAATTGGATTTCAGAGTTGAAAGAAATATTCTACATTCAATGAAAATTATCAGAGCCTTTATTTTACAGAAAGGGTTAAGAACCACGACATTCATGTTTAGTTGCTGATGATTTTACCTGATAAAGGATGCAAATTCCTGTATCTTTTTTTATTGTGAAAAGTTTCAGATATACCAAGAAGTTACCTATTTCCCTTTTTATAAACTTATCATTATCTTAAAACAAACTTGTTACAGAGTTTAGAATCCAGATGTAGGAGATGTAGCCTTGGACAGAGTTTGAATCAGTAGGTGATTAAGAAATAGATGGATGAAGGATATAAACATTTTGAGAAAAATATTAGGGATCTTATTCTCCTGACTCTTCCATAAGAATCTTGGGCAAATCTCTTAATTGCTCTCTTTCTCTTATTCTTAACACTTGGTTTGGAGTGTACCACTTCCTTGTCTGACACACATCAGATAAAATCCAACTTTGCTAAGGCCAGAGATGAAGGCTTCCGTGATCCAATCAGTTTGGCCTCGTTCTCTTCCACCCTCTTGAGTGTTGTCTTTGCTTTTCCCTCAGCCTGAACATTCTTTCCTCAGACACTGGACCAGTTTCTTTGCTCGCCTCTTTGAAGTCTTTTAAAAATGTGACCTCCAAGGGCCAGGGCTTTAGCTCAGTGGCACCGTGCCTGCCTTGCAACAACAAGGACCTGAGTTTGATCCCCGGTACCAGGAAAAAAAAAGTGACCTCCTCAAGACCTTTTCTGACCACCAGATCCAAAACAGCTTCTATCATTCTTGTTTGACCCAGCTTTTTCTTCATGGGACCCAATATTATATATCTATTTCTTTGTTAACCAGGCATATCCCTTCTCAAATGTAAACTCCATAAGAACAAAAGTTTGTGGGGTTTTTTGCTTTATGGTTATGTTCCTGTTTGGCAGATCATAAGTAATTCATGAATATTGTTGAATTAATTAGATATTTAAGTGATTCAAACAAGGCATTGTCTCCCATAAGGACTGTGAAACCCTTGGTAAAACACTAGAAGTCCCTTTAGGTAATGCAGGTAATCAATATTTTATAGGTAAAGTGATGGTCCTGGAATTTAATGACCTCTTTTATTCTCACAGTGTGTCTACACTGAATTGTGTGCTAGAAGCTGGGCCAGTTTTGACAAAGCTACATCCCAAACAAGGTAGAAAACATTCTAATCCCAGAAATTTATCTCATGCCACTTTTTAGCCACCTTCACCATCTAGAAGCCACCTTTGTTCTGATTTCTATTTTCTTGGATTTTGCTGGTTCCTGAACTTACATAAATGCAGTTATATAGAATATAATCTTCTGTGTGGGTTCTTTTTGCTCTACATAAATTCTGTGAGATTATACATGTTGCTGAGTATGTCAGTAGTTTATTTCTTTTTATTTCAAGGTAGTATTCATTGTATGAATGTCTACTATGTATTTAGTCATAGTTTTATTGATGGACACAGGTTGCTTAGAGTTTGGGGCCATTTTTAGTAAAACTACCATGAACATCTTTATAAAATCTGCCTTATTTGGAGACCTAAGCAGTTTATCTGAAAGACTTTCTTGTGCCACCAATGCTGACAGAAGTGTAGCAAGGTTATGGGGACTGTGACTGATGTGGCAGCTTGTCTGGAACCTAGCCAGTGTCTGCCCTGGAGAGCTCTTCTGGGAGCTGACTTCTTCCTACTCCAGCACTTAGAAAATGAGTGACTATGCAAATTGAAGGAGCCCTCAGGTATCCCTAAATGTTTTTGGTTTCTTAGAGGAAAAATTAGGCTGGATGTGGTGGCACATGCCTGTTATCCCAGCACTTGGGAGGCTGAGGCAGGAGTATTGCCATGAGTTTGAGGCCAGCCTGGACTACACAGTGAGTTCAAGACCAGCCTAAACTATGTAGGGAGTCTGTCTCTGTCTCTCTCTCTGTCTCTGTGTGTCTCTGTGTCTCTGTCTCTCTCTGTCCCCCCTTCTTTCCTCCCTCCCTCTCCCCACACACACACTGCTGTTGTATCCCCCCCTTCAGCCTTCCCATTCCAGTACAAGTTGACTCTAATCAGCCCCCTGAACATTATGCTACCAAAGTATTTAAACATTTATGAGCAAGAGTCTTGTTCACAGCCTGATAAAATATTTATGTGTTTCCATGGGGCGTTGGTTTCCATCTAGATTTCTTAAGGCATTTTTCTGAAACACTTGTTATAATCATGAGATGCTCAGAAACAGATGATCCATGCTACCAAACCCTACCTCCTGTGGCACTCTGCTTTCCAGGGATGGGGAGAATGAGCACACAGAGAAATGAGTATCAAAAGAGTCTAGATCAAGCACATGTTGTTGAAATTGGCTTGAGAAAAGAAGGGCTTATTATTGTACTACCTTTAAAGATTTGAATCTAGGGGCAATAGTGAAAAAACTGGGTAGAATGAGGAAGGATTAATTAAAGTGGATGCTTTCATTCCAAAAGGGAGAATACAGGAATTCATCTTGTAAAATTGGTTCCTTTGATGCTGACATGACCAGGGCCTATAGGAGACAACAGGGCTGATGATATCATAGCACTGCTGTGAGACTGTGGGCAGGGGTGGAGGTGGCCATTGTTCCCAGCAGGAGGGTGGATGGCTACTCCATGAAAACTCATTCTTTTTCTCCAAGGAGGGAGCAGTTTGTGAGTCGTGTCTCTTTGACTGGCAGCTGTGGTATGGAAGGCATTACCAGAGCCACAGTGTAACTGAGCAGATGTCTGAATCAGCGCCAGAGGGCAGTGTGGTTGGAGTTAGGTGAGAAGGCCTAAGGGGATAGTCAGGGCAGAATTGCAGTAAGAAATACAGCCAGAGAGCTAAAGGCCAGCTTATGAAGGACACGGAATCATGGACCTCAGTCTGTTTGTTGTAGGGAGCCAGGCAATTCTGACCAGAGATTGGATCAGATTTTGAGCCATTCTTGAGAGGTACATCCAGCCTAGGTGAGGCCTTGAGGTCATTTGTGTCCAAGGCACTTCCAGAATTTTCTGCTGTTTCTAATCCAATGTAGTGTGCTCTGTGCAGTCTACTATAAGGGACACAGATAAGAGGAGGATAGAGTCATTTGATGTAGTCCTAGGAATGACCAGAAACAAGTGTTACTCACAACCTCCCTGTCCCCGACTAGTATACACTCTGCTGTAGGTCAAGTGCAATTCATAGGCATCAGGCTGCGATTTCCAGGGTATTGCTTCTATGACCTCTTTGCCTCAGTGGGGGAATTGAGGTCTATATACCCCTTTATCACCCAAACCGGAATCTGGGAATCAGATGTGGGTTGCTGAGCAACACCACTAAGCAGTGAGGCTGGAAGACCATTCCTACAGAACCTGGGCCACTTTGGCCAGCCCACTGGGCTGGAACTAGGGAGAAACCTGACAATGGAGCTAAGATTGTGCTTTGATAAATCTAGAGATGGGGTTGCTTTTATGTTCCTATGTTTT